TGCATTCTAAAAACACAAAAAACTATATATACCTTTCCATGAATATACAACATGAACTAAGAAAGAACTTTTTTCATTTCCTACCTCTTCTATTGCTGTTTTTTATGTATTCCTATATCAAAATAATATTTGGGGTTTTTTAATTTTTTTAATGTTTATTTATTTATTTTGGCAGAGAAAGAGAAAATGCAGGCAAGCAGGGGTGGGGCAGAGAGAGAGAGAGAATCCCAAGCAAGCTCTGCACTGTTAGCACAGAGCGCAATGTGGGGCTCAGTCCCACGAGCTGTGAGATCATGACCTCCCAGCTCCTCAAAATAATATTTTTAAAAGGTTAGTTTTACAATGCTCCAATGGTCCTCATTCTATTAGATTTTCACTTAATGATTTTCTACAGAATTTGATTTTGCTCCCTAGTGTACCATATGGTCTTTTACTCCCTACTCAGCTGTTTTTGGTTTTTGCTTATTTCTCTATTTTATTAAAGTCAATTTGAGTTTTGTTGCTATTTCTCAAAATCTAAGTGTTCTTGCTACATTTAGTGTTGCTTTTAAATTTAATGAGTATGCTATAAACCTAATTGGCATAATGTTTAACCTAATGCTTTCACTTTACATTCAGTTTAAAACATGAGCTTACATATCTAGATGTGTATATGTTGTAAAACAAAAAAATGAAAAACTCATAAATGACCAGATACCCTTCAATTCCCAATCTCTCCTCTATTTCTTTTTTTTTTCTTCTTCTTTTTTTTTTTTTTCTCCTCTATTTCAAAAGGGAAAAGTCTTTTGTCTGAAGATCTGTGTATGTAAAGTACACTGGACAAATGTGTCTAAATGTCTTACACAGGGAGTCTACTTTTTGCTCTTGATATTTTGCCTTTCTGATATTTAGTATAGCCTGAAACAATGATAAATATCTCATGTATAGGTATTATGTCAGTCACTTTATACGTTGATTTCCTTTAAAACAAGCTCTTCTCTGTGTGTGAGGTTACTTCTGAACACTGGGAATATTAGTACATACTGTGCTGTTTTATACTTGGAATAAAATTGAAATTCCTTGCTGCTGGCAAACTGGCTGTGTATGATATGGCCTTGCTGATGTCTCTCTGACTCTTCCTGCCACTCACCTCTCTCCCTCGCCATCATGGCCTCCTTGTTCTCTCAGGTGTTTTCCTCTGCCGGTTTCCCTGGCTGGAGCCATCTATTCCCAAGTCGATGACTTCCTAATTTTATCCGGAACAGTACTCAAACGTGACTTCCTGAGAGGTCCTGTGTGCTTACGCTGTCTAGACCAACTACCTCCAACCTCCATATATTCTGTCAGTCACACTGTACTCTACCCAGCCTTATTTTTTTTCATGCTGCTTATCACTACCTCAAATTATATACTTCCTCATTGTTTACTGATTTCTTGCATTTTTCTCCCCTAGTATATAAGTTCCATAGGGCAGGAAGTTTGACCAGTTCGTCATGGTACCTTTTGTTGTCTAACCATGTCTAGCTGTTTTTTTTTTTTTTTTCTATTTGTTTAAAATAATTTATTCATCTTTTTTTTTTTTACAAATAGTTTATTGTCAAATTAGTTTCTACATAACACTCAGTGCTCATCCCCAAAGTGCCCTCCTCCATGCCCATCCCCCCTCCCCCCCACATCCATCAGTCCTCAGTTTTTGTCAGCATTCAAGAGTCTCTCATGGTTTGCCTCTCTCCCTTTCCCCCACCATTTCCCCGCTTCTTCTCCCCCTTGTTCCTCCGTCAAGTTCCTCCTAATCCTCCTATACGTGCAAACATATGATACTTGTCCTTCTCTGCCTGACTTATTTCGCTCAGCATAACACCCTCAAGGTCCATCCATGTTGCTACACATGGCCAGATTTCATTGTTTCTCATTGCCATGTAGTATTCCATGGTATAGATAAACCATATCTTCTTTTTTTATTTTTTTATTTTTTTACAAATAGTTTATTGTCAAATTAGTTTCTACATAACACTCAGTGC